GCCGACGACCCCCGTCGGCCCCGTGGTGCCAGAGCTCTGCTCTCCGAGAGCACGGGCGGAGCCCCCTCTGCGTGCGAGCAGATCGCGGCGCTTTCACCCGCGCGACAGCGTATTTCTGTTTGCGCCTACGCCTCGCTTTGTGTGTTGGCTCACTTTGTGCAGCTCGCTGGCACAATGGGGGGCGCAGCTGGTGGTTCCAGGCTCCTGCGCGTTTGCTTTGTTCTCGCTTTTCTTTTGACTAAAAGAATCCTCTCTAAGGTAACGTAGTAATCTTGCTGGAGCGGCCCGACCTCTGCATGGGGCTGTGTAATAACTGGTAACACGGGTAGAAATCGGAGCTCGTTTATCCCTCTCTTCTTCTCCAGACAATAGTTATGAACGACTGCATCATCCGCGGTGACCTGGCAAACGTACGGGTTGGACGACACTGCGTGGTGAAAAGCCGCAGTGTCATCAGACCGCCCTTCAAGAAGTTTAGTAAAGGGTAAGAGGTCTCCTTCCTTTAGGGGAAGTGAAGGTAAAGTCTATATGCTTAAGAAAATATACCAGCTTGGCTGAGATCTGTATTCAGAGGGCTGTGTGCCTCTTGCAGCAATCTGGAGAAATATGTCCCTCTGACCTGCCGTTTCCTCAAATTTTCAGCTTTGCCTTGAGGGTTAGCGTTCCCTTCAGACCACCGCGTGGAGAGGCTGGGATATATTAAAATAGCTAAGTGAAGAACATGTTTCACTTGTTCTTTGTTCATTCACAACCTCTTCCTGGTGCTCATTTGGGTCGTCCTTTAGAAAGCGATGAGAAAAGACCAGTGACCGTTCAATCTTCCGTAGTATCAGATCTACCTCTGGTAATCCAGCGGGGGACGGGAGACCTCGCAGCGTGATTTTGGGTCTAACGGTGTGGCGGATCAGTCTGTATATCGTACACCTGAACAAATATCTCTCCTGTCACAGGGTGGCTTTTTTCCCTCTCCACATTGGTGACCATGTCTTCATAGAAGAGGACTGTGTTGTCAACGCAGCCCAGATCGGCTCCTATGTCCACATAGGCAAGAACTGTGTCATTGTGAGTGCCGTCTCTCTGTCTTTCCTTTAAACTCTTGAGCACTGCGGAGGCTTTGTAACAACAGTGGGAAGGTTTCCGCACCAGCTGGCTGGAGCAAGCATACTTACTCTGTGCTGTCCCTCTCTCCTCCTTCCCCACAGAAAGCGGTGCTTTCAGTTTCGCTCTTCTGAGGATAGCGGGTTCCGCTGACCGCTGTTTGGAGAATCTGTCCCAACAATATTGTGGCTAACGGGACTCTCCAGGAAGGACAGCCCTTCCACGGAGTACAAGTGGAATTGCGTTTCTACGCAAATAACGCAAAACGGCCAAGGTTGCTGTCTGCTGAGTTAGAGAAGGCCTTGCTCTGTTACTGCATGACTCGGGTTCTCGGTTCCAGTTTGCGCATTGACATGTGTGAATGTGCAGCTGCCCGTACGTGTGTTAGCCGAGAGCAAACAAAATTTTTCCCTCAAAAAAGGAAAAAGTGAATTCTGTTGGGAAGAGCAGTCAGGGTGGAGATTTATTCCCGTGATCCCTTACACAGAATATGTTTTGAGCAGTTAAATTTGTTGAAGTTTAGGTAACGTATCAGGAATAAGCAAAAGCATATAGTATTTTAAGTACAAACTTTACCTAATCTCTGTTTTAGGGTCGTAGATGCGTTTTGAAAGACTGCTGCAAAATCTTAGACAACACAGTACTACCTCCTGAAACAGTAGTCCCACCTTTCACAGTCTTCTCGGGCTGCCCAGGTATGCTCCCTCTAACTTTACTTGCACAGAAGTGTGGATAACGTGGATATTCTTATTTTAAAATGAGATTGCTATGACAAAGTTGCCTATTAGCATTTAGTGCCTAGAAATAAAGGTATAGGGCACTCGGTGAACTCAAAAATAACACTTTTAACTTGCGAAACTCGCTGCTTTAGTGTATGTTAGGTAGGTAGTATACGTTCACTCAGAGCAGTATTGCTAGGATGCCAGCTGTGGCCATCCTGTACAGCAAGCAACACAGCTTTTCAGGTGTCTGGAACCCAGCAGGCACTAGGCTCTGGCAGAGGGAGCACTCCTCCTTCCGTGGTTTCTGGTTTTGCAGGTGTTTCAGTGGTTCAAACTGCAGGAAGTCCACTTGCTCATTTATTCATATGTTAATAGGGAGGGAGGTACATTAAACTGAGGGTATATGAGTGTTTAGCTCCTGCCCGTTGACCTGGCTGTGCCTCAGGTCTCATTGTACAGGTTGCACACGCC